GAATAAATCTAAAAATCTAAATCTTATTTCGAATATCTAGCCGAAACCAAAGGTAATAGACAACTCATACGGAAAAGTCAGGGTCATTCTGTAGCACCACTAGTTTTAGAGCGATTTTTATTACAATGGGATTTGTTTAACACCTAATGCTAGCAACACAATTGAAGATTTTGTGGTTGTTGTGTCCTTGAACCTACTACACTCTCCATTCGGTCGTTTGCAGTTGGCTAACTTGTAAATGGCTTTGACTCTTCTTTTTGTGATGTCCTCGTCCAACGAAAATATAGTGCGTCACGAGAAATAATTGAAATTAGGAAGTGCAGACCTATGTGCTTTTCTGTAAAAATTCTAATTTATAAACATTACATTGAATTTAGTTTTTATGTAATAAGTATTATGTTTGTTATCGAATCTTGAATGTGAGATGCGTACTGGTGACTGTTCACGTGTTTCCGGCTTCTGCGCTGTGTGGCGACTGGTGAGCTGTGGTCGGAAGCGTCCCATATTCATTTAACATCATAGAGATATGTTCTATAGAAAATTAGTATTTAAAAATATTCATTTGATAAGTAAATGCTTGTAAAGGAAACAACTCAAGAAAATTTAGTAAAGTCTTTAGTTGTGGATGCAAGAATAAAAGTAAAACATAGCGTTCACTGTTTAGATGTTGTAATTAGTGATACTGAATGTAAAGAATGTGCCTATTATTCATCCAAGAAAGCCATGAATCCATCCATGAAAATAGACATACTAGATAGATCAAGGAATGCATTGAAATGCATAACATTAGTGAAATATGAATCAATTATTAAAACACATTTGAATTATGAGAGCATAGTACCAAGTTTTGATAGTCGTCACACAGGGTTTCACTACAAAAATGCATGAGCCAATCACTGTGAAACCATCTAGGAAAGGTATTTGAACGTTCCCTGAAAAATTATTTTTCTTTCTATTTACATTCGTGGCAGTTTTCTTTTACTGAATGTGAGAGCATGTTAAAACATTTTTCCACTTATGTCAATAAGTTTTAATATTTCTCGGACTCGCGTACGTGTATATATACGTTCTACCTAAGCGAAACTCAGACTTCTGTATAGTGATGTCTTCGCGGAAGCCGTAAACAAAACTACGAAGGGGCGTAACTAAATAGCTGACGCGGCGGAGGGATACTTTCTGAATTACACGTGATGTTCACTTGTTTCGCGAACTGTCACTTTAGCCCATTCTTATAAAAATCGCTAGCTACCATTGTTCCGTGACATTGAGATGCCCAGAATGATGTCATGACGTTAGGCGGGAAAGTGTTGGGTGGCTACCTCAGGTTTGCACGAAACTGTTTCCTAGAGAATTATAAGATTTTGGCTGTATTATGCGGCTGTCTTGGTTTGAGTTTCTTTTCACGTTTTTTATGTAGAATGATATTTCTTCCTTTCTAGTGCAGTCGATAGGGAGCAATGAAGGGGTTCACTGGCGAATTCACGGGGGCATGTGGTCCATGGCCGTCCTCAATAGCCTAAAGTTACCGTTTACTTTCCTTTTTTGGGTAACTTGTTTAAATATTTAGTTATGTTCGAATTATGTAATTATTTATATAATAATATTGTATAGTATATCTACAGTACATCAATAATGCACAGTATAATAACAAATATGTTTATTATTTAACAAAAATCTAAGATTCCCCCATACACCCACACACAATGATCGACTGGATTCACTCCGAAGGGGTCCATCTTGGGAAAGGTGAGAAGAAGGGTTCATTATTTTATTTTGTTTATATCAGTAAGAAACATAAACGATCAGAAGGGGGGCCGCTGGTGCAAGTTGCCTCAGACCCCAACTTGGGGCCTCGAATCTCTTTTCATTAAAAAAATATAAAACGTATTTATCTCTAATCTATATTTAACGCTTTAAGTAATTTCTGATGCATGGATAAATGTCTATTAATGAATTGGGGAAGAGGGGACTTCGTTTAAAATGTGGGGCCCCTTTTCCCTAGGCCCCTGTTTTTGTCTGGGAGACCTTTGCAAGAAACCCTTAAGTTTACCATCACGAAATACTTCGGGAAAAACTTTAGTGGCCAAAAATCACGAATTTTTCGGGAAGTTTTGGTTTCTTCGAAAAAGCTAGATGATGTAAAATTTAAAAAGTCGTAAAATGCTCATCAATATACATACGTTTTATAAATGCACTTTATAAATTCTTTTTCTTAAACAAATAGTAAGATAGCTACGTTTTAAAATTTCACTAAATTTTCCTTTTTATTGCGATGTTGCTCCAAATTTTTATTCTGATGTTGCTATAAGTTTACATTTCCGATTTCTGAGAACAGAAGAGAATATAAAAAAACACTCTGTCTCTCCCACCCCCTTTTCCCTAGTTCATTACCGCACACAATTTGGTTATCGTGAAAATACAACTTTATTTTAAACAAGAAAGAGCATCTCACTTCGAGAAAGAGTACCTACATAAAACAATAACGTTTTAAAGTCATTTTAAATCAACACATACTAATATTCCGTATTTTAATCATTAGCTCGCAATCATATAGCTTATATATCATATAGCTTCTGGACACTTGACACTCTCTTGGCATTTGTTCTGCTCTGACAGCTCTCGAAAGTCACTTGTCTGGACACCTCTTCCTCATATTCAGCATCTGTTACTTGCCACCTATAGTAGGTGGCGTTGCTCAGAACACAACAGGTGTGAGCGATCTGGTATGGTGACTGTGACCCAGAGCAATTATATAGGCAATATAGTTGTACCATTCTTTATTCATCCATGGTCTGTCCATGGTTCTCTCACCAGCTCTCGAAGTTACGTGTTACAAGCAATGTCACGTGAATGTTGGCCGGGCAGACTGTGAGAGCAGCCCTATTAAATAGGATAGAATCCTGGTAGAATCTATCATGCTATCGAGATACGTAACACGTGGTTATCACCCCGTGCGCTGAACAAGTGAGGGACGACGCCTCCGGATGTGGAGTGTGTTGAAATGTGTGAAACTAACGATGTCCTTAAATTGGAAAGCGTAAGTTTTTATTTTCATCATAACAATAAGCCCGACTTAGAGAAAATTCCAAAAATTTATTAACAAAGTATGAAGCCTGTTGTTTCGATTTTGGGTAACCCGTAGTGTTGTATTAACGCTTCGAACGTATCAGTTTTAAATGCTGAGTATGACATTTTTTGCTTATAAGATCTTGACACGATACAAAATAAATTTTGTTGCAGTATTCGTTTTCTTTGCAGTATAAGTACAGTTTTCTGTTGTTAGATCAAAGAAGAACCCAAGGACAAGGAACAGTTCACAAGAACTGTGTTTAATATATTTACCTTCAGAAAGAGTAAAAACTATGAGTGACATCTGGGGAGAAATATAATATACACATGTGTTCTTGAACTCCAGAATTCCTACCCTACTCTTTTACTCTACATGTTTTAATTGTGATTAAAAGTACCAGCAAGAATGGTTAGTCAGTATACAGAAATTAATGATTTGTAAATGTAGACTATGTAGTAGTATTCCTAGATCAATGAAGAGAGATGTGCAGAAATGTTAGAATTTGGCTTTTATTGATTCAATTTTTTCTGCAATGTCAAAGTGTTTGTACTGTAGGATTTGTTTACCCAGAATATATCTCAGGCAGGAATGAACACTATCAAAATGTATAGAACAAACAGTAAAAAGGCTGGCTGCATTGGAAAAAAATTTGTGTGCATAACATAAAGAACTTAGCAGTGCTTAATTCATTTATATGAGTATTCATTTAAAGTTTGACTGAATTGAGAAGTCCAAAAATTTGTTACTTTAACCAGATAAACGTAATTTTTTCATTTTCAATGGTGCGTGCCTATTTGAAAAGAAAAACTGCGTTAAAATTATTCCTACTTAGTTTAGTATTAATTTACAATTACAAAATCGACTCGAAGCTCCTGAAATAATACTAATATTTTTCTTTTCTATAAATGTTATTATTTTTATGTATTAAAATAATGTTTTTACCCATGATTTTTATAAGTTACAGTAGTATTGCATATAATGCAGTAAATGCAATTAATTTTATTTTAGGAACTTCTGAATTTCTAATGATGAGCGAGATTTATACGAGTTGTGCTAACAGCCGAGTTTGCTCTGGTCATCAACGGTTGCCTTGGGAGTGACTCGAACCTGGGAGTCCTAAGGTTCAATTTTTGGCACTGGCAGGAGAGCTTGGATAAATTCAGGAGCTCTCTGAAGGAAAATTCTAGTGTGCAGTAGTTCTCATTAGTAGTTTTCCGTGGTGACAAACATCAGGCAAATGACAGAGCAGAACTCTAACAAACTGGCCACACATTGCATGCAATCTCTTTTCTTATCCTTGCCCCCTCCTCTACCATTACACATACATACACATGCACACCTTTACACTTACATGCTGTACATGACCACACATGTCAGGCGGGCTTAATCCTTGCCCTGCTGGGTGCAGTTACCAAGAAGGGGAAGAAGCCCGCCCACCCCAAGATCGAATGTAGGTTGGTGCTGGATCTCACACTCCAGTATGGAACACTATCTTGAAAAATTACAGTTAAGGGATTAATGACCATAGCAGTAGGAGTGCACAGAAACATTAATCAATCATGAGGTATGCTATGTCAAGGTGTTCAATGTTAATTTTTTTTTTTAGTTTTTATGTTAACGACATAATATGTGTAGTTTTCTGAAACTTTGTACTGTTAAGTTAATTAATTTTTGATGTTTTAGGAAAAAGGACGACATAGTTTCCCTTTCTTTAAATTTGTAATATATGATTTATTCACTTCGATTTGAAACGAAAAATTTAATACAGTTTAATACACTTCTCCTTACATTATGTCATTCACAGTTTTTAATTGTTTTTGATACCAAATAAATAAATAAATACTTATTGAGAGAAAAATAGTTATTTGAAGGATCTGTTGCAAATTTAGCAAAATAGCAATACTAACATAAATTTTTTTGTCTTTCACAGGAAATGTTTGAAACCAACTGGGAGTGCTCTGTGAAAGATGAAAATGATACAGAGGAGGTATGTCAGTTGATAACGGGTAGATTTGTCATTTGACTGTAAAGGAAGTATTAAATATCTGCATTATGAATATAGTTCTGCTCTGTATATAGTCCATGAAGAGCAATAGGTCCACACATAATGTGCCAATTCCCATAATCTCTAAATGTGCAAACTTTTTTGAAAAATTTATGGGCAACAAATTTGATGATTATGTAACAGGACATAATGATATAACCCTTCCAATGCCATTACCAAAAGTGCAAGAACATGAAGAAACTATTAAATACATAACAAATGAGATTAATAAAGTATTAAATTGAATTACACCCCGTGTTTTGTTGTTGTTTTTATCTGGTGGAAACTTTTGGTACTGTCAATCGTATATTACTGTTCATATGACTAGGGAATTAGGGATATTAGTTATGATTTGGAAGAAAGTTACGAACCCAGATGGAAGCGAGTTGTCAAACGAAATGATGTAACTAAAAGTGAGTTACTATTAACTTGTGGTGTATCTCAGTCTCTATGTTTCTTATTATTAGAGCTCGGATGTTTGGTATAATGCTTTTTTATTATTGATGTTATTTTATGACTTTAAAAGATTCACTTAAATGTACTTCTGGAGTTGTTTTAGTAGATTTTCATTTTGCCTTTCTTTGCCTCTTTGTTTTTGCATTTTGCCATACTCGTGCTGTTTTATGCATGTTATGATTTTGCGTCATCATTTTCCCCTTTTTTCCCTCCTAGTACTAATTTCTAGCAAGATTGAAACATACCTACAAAACTGGACAACTGAAGACTCAGACATGTATTGTCATTATGTGAGTGCGAAGGCTCCAGTGCCAGGTTGTGTTAAAAACTTTAAAAGAAAAGAAAGAAGATGCTAGTAAAGATTTTTGATGTTTTCAATTGATGCTGATAGACTTGTTGGCTCAAGAGAAATCTCACCCTATGTTTGTGTGTGGCCTTGGATCCCTTTTGAGGATAGAGCCCTTTTGAGGATACCGTTCCTCGGCGTTTTCTTGTTCTCTCTTCCCTTCTGGTGGTTACAAAAGTGCGAAGAATGAAATCTATAATTCCATTTTCACTGATACCATTTCAAGATTTAAAAGGGATTCTACAATAGCATTTCATAGAAACAGCATTGCTAGTAAAATAAATTCATAGTCATCACATCTGATGGTCATGTACAATCGAGATTACAACGAAAAGGTAGTTTTCTTCCATGTAAGTGCTAATGTAAATTTTACAGTTAGAATAAAACTGAATCACTTTAATTATTAATTTTTTACAATAATTTCTTTTACATGGTGATTTTGCAGTGTTTCCCTATTTTTATTCCCCTACTTTTGCCAGAATAAATGCCTTTTTTGCCTTCCTATGTCAAGTGAAATAAATACCTAAACTTCCGGGCTCTACTTATAATGTATTAATGATGTATTTATAATTTTGCCAAAAGGATATATTACATCTCTTGCTGATGACACGTGTGTGTTGTCAAAGTTAAGTCATTCACTGATGTAACTTACGAAGCTCCTGAATTTGATAACTGAATGTAATCTTCTAAAGTTTCTTAGTTTACTTGTAACTGTTTATGAATAGCATTGTTGCTTAAAAGTGCATAACAATTCTTATAATTCTGTCATTTGTCATTGCCCTGAGGCAATAAGGATAGTTATCCTTTCAAAATATCCAATCATTTGTAATAATTGTAAGCTGAATTGGATCAACACAAGGCTGAAGTTGTTACTAAATTATACTATCTTATTTTTATTTGTTGGAAAACATTTTTTAATATTAAACCTCTCTAATGATTGTGAATTAGGGGCCTCTGGCTAAGTAAGGAATAAGGCTTGGGGTGTAGCTGAAGAAAATCCAATTAAACCATTATGTACATTACAAAAGAAAGTAATTAAATGAATGTTTATAAAAGATAGAGCACACTCTTATGAAATATTCTTTGGATATAATATATGGATTATTACAAAAAAATTCTTAGAAGTCAGACCTGAATAAATTTTCATATGTTCAGAAAATTTTTAACTGAATTTTAGTTAAGTGTTTCTAAAATTGCATTCCAAGAATTAAAATTGATATTAGTAGAACAATTATATGTTCATTGCTCACAAAGTACTTAATTTACTTTTGGACAATGAACTTTAGATGAAGTAGAGATGTAATAAATGTGGAAACGAGTAACCTGAAGCGAAAAATATTTGTTAGTGTGTGGTTAAATACAAAAGAACCCCTTTCAACTGTCATCTGCAGGACTTGGACGTAGTCAATACGAAAAAAAAATGTGATAATTACTGGAACAACTGGAGAAAAAAGAGGAATAAAAAGGCAAATAAATGACTACATAAATATTACAATAAAGTTCCAGTATTTATATTGATTTTATGAAGTGTATATTGATATACAGACATTCATAATACAAAACAACACCTTCTATAATATTATATTGAAGTAGTGTAACAATGTGCAATGGTTTCAAGGGGGTTTGTATTTCTCATGGTCCAATATGAAGGGTTCTACTGTAATCCAAAAGGCAGTGATGTTATATCAATATTTGTTATTGCTGAAATGATATTATGAATTTCATATTGTAATGTAGAGCAAATCTAGTTTTTTCTTCCAATTTTTACCTCTTTTTTTTATTATTATTATTTTTTTATGCATTTGTTTTATCTGTAATTTCTGAAAATATGCTGCAATAGTGTGGTAATTGTTTATATTATAGTTAACTGGTTCATGCTCAAGCTGAACGTCAGCAGGATGCGAAATTTATGTTGCTTGTATGTTTACTTTGTATCAGCATGTACATACAATCTGCAAAGAGAAATTCAAAAAGATAAGAAATTCAAAAAAAATTTGTACTCAAAGGAAAGAAATTTGTATTTCTGAAAGTTTTATTTCTTTGTGGAGCAGGAGTTGGAATCTCCAGCTGCTGTGTTCCTGAAAACTGAACTAGTGAATGAGGATGAAGATGTTCAGAACAAAGCTGGAGGAGCGATTGAAGGTGGTGTTGCAATTCAAAATGAAGAAGAGGTTCAGGATGAAGCTGTTCAAGAATATGGATTAATTAAGAATGAAGAAGTGAATGATGATAAAGATGGGGTAAGAATTACTGAGAACCAGTACAATATAGGTTGCAATAAAGTTACAGAGATGTCGTAGTTGTTTATATTATGCTTTCTTTTTCAAAATTCTAATTTTTATTTTGTGTAATGTTGAAATTTTGATGGAAATACATTTGGGGATCTCTGAAAAGGACACCTCCCCTCAGTGGTATTTCTCTCTGTCAGCCAACTGTCCATCACTTCAGACCATTGACAACAAAAGGACCTAAACTGTTAGCAGGATTTTATCTGAAATGTATATTCCGCTGCAATAAATCTCACCACATTTGATGCAGATCTTTTAATTTTTGGTGATACTTTCCATAAAGCCTCTAGAACTTGATCAAAATTCACACAAATCATTTTCTCAATTTTTTCTTTAAACTTTTGCTCAAATGGAGTGAAATGTATTTGTAAAAGTGTTGCAGATCCAAATGTCATTATAAACTGAATTTTCAAGAATTGTGTAAGTGTAAAATTTTGTTCCACTCCCCCCTAACTACGATATTGAATATAGAGATTTTTTCTTGAAGAATGTGTTCTCATTGTCTTCTTCAAAATTATAGATTAAGTGATTGTCACATCAAGTGCTGTGGTAATTATTCTTATTAGTTTATTGAAAGTTTAACCCCAGAATGGGGTAACGATTCTTCCCCACTGGATAATGAGAACTGACACCAACCTACATGTCAGCTTGTGGGGAATTTCGCCCTTCAGGTTTTCCCCACTGTTGTAGTCAGAACAAGCTCTAAGTTCCTGATGTCTGGTCGTGTAGGTTGTGTAGAGCATGTAAGAGTAAATGTGTGTAAGGGGAGAGCTTGGGACAAGTAAGAGGCAGGAAAGATCACACGCGGTGTGTGGCCTATTGTCAGTGAACTACTCCAGCATTTACTTGATATTGATCAGAGAAACCATGTGAAACTACTGATCAGAGCAGATGGTTACTATAATTAGCTTCCAGGCAGTGGTTGCATTTGAAGCTAGGTTGAAAATCCACTTTTGTTAGGGCTGGAACCCTAGAACCTCCCGTTCAGAGATTTTACAGAGCCAGGGACCATGCTGGCTCTGACCTCACTTATTTACCACTAAGCAGGTAAAATTATAGGTCTTTAAATCTTTTCATACCCCCTTTTTTACTAAAAAGTTTATAGTTTTTGCTTAAATGTGAACGGAATCATGATAGGTGGCTACAAATGTATTAACATGATTTTCTCAAAAATGGTCTCTCTTTTTTGGTAAGAATGGAGCAAAATAGCACTGAATTCTATGGAACAGGTGCCATTTTCTTTATTAATGCTTTTTGATGCCTAAATAATGCCTCAGAGGCCCAGCTTATTTTTTATTGATCAGTTTTCAGGTTAGTTACATCTTTGAAAAAGTAATCTATTCAAGAATTTCTGTCAGCTATGTGCACCTGAAAATGTAGATGAATTGAGCAATTGACAATACGATAGTAGGGATTTTCATCCTTTTCACCCATGTCTTTACAAATCGAGAATGCTGGGCCCAATTTACTTGATGTTCTTCAGAAAGGTTTTGACAACACCTTAATTTGTGATTTTCTTTTCAATTTTCCTTCCTTTCTTTACAACAACAACAACAATAATAATAATAACAACAACAAAAACAATAATAACATGAAAAACCACAAACAGCCTACAAAAATAACAGCAACAACGCTTTTATATGTGACAATGAACAACAGACATTCCAAGATTTGAAGATATTACAAAATTTTTGAAGTTATGCAATAATTTAGGCAGGGTGAAAGACTTCAAGCTTAAATGTAAGCTGTCTTTTAAATACTTCAAACATTAATTTTTTGTAGTGTTACAATTGAGAAATGAGTTAAATTCTCAGAAAAATGCCAGTAATTCACCTTGTGCAATATTTTCGCTCTATTTACTAATATGGGTGTGTTAGCCCTTGAAGACTTAATTTTGAGCAAACTTGTTCTGCCACTGCTTTATGTATCTATGGGTTAAAGAAATGTATTTTTTCAACTCTCCTGCACTTCTTTGTGGTTTGGTGAAAAATGTTTTCAAGAGATGGCCAAAATATTCTTAAGTTTCATGTTGTGATGTTATATTGCATAACCGTCAGAAATAAAACATGATAGTATGTGTTGGTTTAACAGTTACGTTTTTGGTCTACAGTAAAATTTAATATTAATTTTGGATTCAGTCATTTCCATACTTTTTAATTTTTTTTTAATGTTTGATTAATTTGTAGTGTAAAGGTAAGTCATTATTTATGGATACACCATTGTTGTGATCTTCCATACTTCAATTAAAATAAATATCTTAAATACTGCCTTGCAACTTAATCTCTAACTTTTAAGAGAATGAAATATTTATCATATTTTTGAACAAAGAATTGGTAGGATTTTTAGCTGAGTGACTTTTGTTATTTCACATTGCAGGAAGAATTGGAGCCTCCAGTTGCTGTGTTTCTTGAGCCCTTGGTGAATACAGAAGATGATAGTAAGGGGAAGAAGGTAAGAATTTCCAGGTTCTAGTAATTACAAGTGTAGAGTGAAATACTACTTGGCTATTTTTGTGTGGTAGGCAGAATAATACACGGAATAGGTACATTCAGGGAAATTAATAGACTGTGAAAGATTTTACCTGAAGATACACACAATCTAATTAGCTTGTGAGTAAAAGGAGCTTAGCAAAATTTACATGGTCAGACAGAAGAGCGGACCTGATGGTCCACTCTCCTTAGTCTCACCACATAAAATAAGGCATCAATTCAATTCAACCCGATAGGCAGATGATAGTTATCACATAGAAGAATGGGACACTCATAAATATTCAATGTTGCATTAATCTCGTGAAGAATCTAATGTCTCACCAAAGAAATTTTGAACTGCATTAGTATGTACAAGATTTAAATAATTATCATATCAAGTAAATTATAACTTTATTTGTTTTTATTAAATTTGACGCATTCACATATTCACAGTATAATCCGGAATCTGTAAGGTGCCACTTGATACCAGGGAGGTTAAAGTCTCCGGCCAATAGAAATTCTGGCATAGGATAAGTATCAAAAGTTTCATAAGCAGTGCCTGTAAATTGAGTAAAATAATGATTTACAATCTAATATCACAGAGGCAAGAGTACTTTTTTAAATTGATACACTGGGCTGGCCGAGATGAGGTCTTGTGGAAGACTATTCCAGTAATCAGCTATGCACTATTTTGTTAGTATGAGGAAGCTAAATTTCTGTTCCTTGCGACGCCAGTAGTGGAGCGATGGGCAAGTTAACTTTCTGCCTCTGGGCAGTAGCAGTGTCCATGTCACTTGAGGTGAACAAAACAGCAGCTCTCCTGGGGGGTCTTCTGCCTTTCCATCTCTTTATTATGCAACCTATTCCGATCCATTTCATCAATATTCAATCATTCAAAGACTAGAGGCAGTGCAAATGAGATTACTACCTCATCTTAAAAACAAAAAGTAGAGGTGCTACAGAATGGCACAGACTTTCCCATTTCAGTTTTCTATTTCCTTTGGTCTCAGATTCGCCACATACTCTAGTCAGCTGCCATCTATCACCGCCCAAAGTAAATTTTTTGAAATTTTTTAATTTTTACAGTTTTGTAATAGTTGAACGGAAATATTCCGTTAAGAATATTAAAGAACAGTAAGATCTCATCCTAAATGGCAATTTTCTTTGAAAACTTTGGAGCAGTTTTTTTAAAAAAACAACAACTCGCCTTTAAGCGCTTCTGTAAATTCAAAATTTGACGCTTTTTACATAGAAAATTTTTGATCTTTCGAAAAACTTCCTTCAGAGTCATCTGAAACACATTAACTCACAAACACAATGGTGTTTACAAATTGCTGGAAGTGTGCATATCAACGACGTGGGAGATCTTTCAAAAATTTTACATTTATGTAATTAAAAAACAAACAAAAAAATACACTGAAATGAATGTTAAGCCATATTAAAGAGTGAAATTAGCACCATCTATTCGAAATGTTTGAAGTAACAATCTGGAGCTCTTTTAGAGAAAATGGCGTTTTGAGCATTTCTGAAAATGCGGAATTTTGAGCTAGTTTTCACTGAAAACTGTTGGGTTTTCGAGAAACTTTGACATTATTTAAACCACATGTACTCGTAAATACAATAATGTGAACAAATTGCTGCTAATGTAAATATTCACAACATGAGAGACACGTTCCCAAACACATTTTTGGGATTTTTTGAAAAACAAAGGAAAAAGCAATATGGCATTTATGTCATTCTTCTGAACATTTAGCACTATCCTTACCAAATGTTTAATGGAATTAGCACCATTTTTAAAAAATCTATTTGTGTAATTTTTTAAAACTGCGCATACGCACGCAATATTTGTGAACACTATGAAAATTTTCAAAACAATGTACATGACCTTAATGAAAGAACTCAACATACGACATTTTTTTGATGGAAAATCTTATCTCAATTTAGTACTCTTTTCTATTTAGTAAGAAAGAACTACGCCTCAATCAAATACTCTTTTCTTGCAAGAAATTAAAGAAAAAAAATTGGAGCTATTTTTTGATAAAATTTTGAAATGTGAGGAAGGTCGTTCCTATTAAAGTTGCGTTTATTTGTAGGATACAGGCCGCTGGAACAAGTCGAAGGGCCTCCATTTCCGAGCACCTATAATGATTGCGGGTGAGAGTCTTTTTTATGTTCCCTTCTTAGGCAGCAGTTTGCTGCAGGCTCATGATACAACATATTTTTGTTGCAAGCAGTCTTCACCACCAGGATTAGCACTGCAGAATGACTTTCCTGGCATGCTTAGTATTGTGTTACCACTGCTATGATTTCGTTTCTTATGTTATTGTAGGTGACTTTCTTTACATTGATAACCAATGTACCAGTGCGAGTAACTCTTTTGCAACTTCACTGATTTTGGTATATTATGAATTTATAAATGGTTCACCTTTGCAGTTATTCTCTGATATCTCTCCTTGTCATACTTTTGCTTATTTTATTTGAATTTTTGAATTTACAAGATTATTCCCAGAATGCCTGTTTATCTTGAAATCTTTTTACTCGCACATATAAGGTTTTATGTTTTCTTTTCTTTCCCCCCTCCTCCCCCAAGAATTGTTAATTTTTTCTTTAATGATTGTGTTTGTCTCTCCTGCAAAATAAAATTATTTTTTGGTTTCTTGCCAGTTGTTATATTAATTATTGTAAATTATTTTTTGCTTTTGCAGGACCCTCTAGCAACAAGCATATTTGGTGACCCATTTGAGCAAGAAAGTGGTGAGTAAAAACAATACTTTAGCTTAATCACATCATTTTTTGTACTTCAGCAAGTACCAGAGAACAGTCAAAAAAGTTATTCATCAGAATGAAAGGTTTTAATGCTAGGTGATGCATTTCTATGTGTATACTTTAGATAAATTGAATATTATGATTGCATCTTGTTTTGATTAGATATATTTAGCAGCTAAACATAGCAACAAATTAGCGGGAAGGCAGCCAGGTCTTTGGGTCAGAACAATGGTATTATTAATTCAAATTTGAAAATTTTTATTGAAATTTACCCTGCCAATAATTTGTACCATCTTCATTATTGCAATAACTGTTACTATTTCTTCTTATGAATTTCCTATAAAATGTATGTTGAATGTTTGTATTCTTTACCATGTTTGAGTTAAGTCATCATTTGTCATTGACCAAGGATATTCAGGGAATTTTAATTGTGTATTGACCTGCTTTTTCCAATAAGTCTTGAGATAATTTCTTGTGCTAATTGTAAAATAATAGAGATTTATTTTAAGTGTAAAACTTATTAATAGAAGCTTTCAATATTTATACTTATTGTATTTAATATTCATGGGTCGTTAGAATGAACACTTCCTGTAATTTTGTGGTTTGTCTGTTTTTTTTAAGTTTTACTCATTCACTCTATTAATACTTATTTTTATGAAATGTCTCGTAGGTGGCTAGGAAAGTTTTTATTTTATTTTTTTACTTAACACTATTGTGTCCACATGTTAAAACCATCAACTTGTCTTTTATAACTCTTAAACCTAAATTCTTATCAGCTAAATTTTGTTCAGTTACAACTTGTCTTTACTTGTCTTATTTAAAATTAGACGCTTATCACCTGCTCTGCTCATGACACAACACTACAGAAGTTGAAATTTTCTTGTTCTTTTCAGTCTTTGGAATAGACAGTAATTTTTTAGCAGTTGAAGGATTTGTGCTCTTTCGTGTTGATGAAATGGTTATCTTAATGTTGCTATCTTTCACATGTCCCCAGAGCTCGTATTTCTACAGCTAGATGTGTTTAAAGATCAGATAATAATTTAGTGTTCTGTTGCGTAAAGGTAGGCTGGAATATATATAAGCCATTTCTATTGTCGGACTCTGATGCTGAGTTCTTTAATTATTTTTCCCTTCTCCCCCTTTTTTAAATTTCTAAATTTTTGAATCGTGCATTCTCTTATTTCAGCTTTGTAACCAGTGTCATTCAGGTGTTTGGAATTGTTTTCATAAGGAACTGTGTTTCCTTTTATGATCTTCGGCAGTGTGTTATTTAATATTTTGTTAGTACAGTTGATATGAACTGATGTTTCTTCATTTAGGTTAATTTTCTATTTTTGGTCCATTTGGAAATGGTGTTGGTGGGTTTTTCCAGTAGTTGAGTTGAGATTATCTCATCTTATCGAGTAGTAATTATGACTGTATAGCCTACAAAAGACCCCTAGTTCTGGATTTGGTGTGTCACCGGTGTAGAACTGACCTAAGTTTACTGCCCTGTAGAACTCCTGCTTGAGTATTCTTCACGTCAGAATAGACTTGTTGCTTTATTCTAAATGATCTTAAAGTTATGTAAGATGTCAGGATTTATGTGTGTTTTTTTGGTAGCATTTCATTTTAATTTGTGTTCCAATCCCTCATGCCATACTGGGTCAGTGTGATGAAGCTTTTGTGACATCCAGATCCATCGCAGAACAGACTTGTTTCTCTTGTGTTGCTCTTTCAATTACATTGGTAATTCTGTCTACTTAGTCTGTTGTTGAATGACTTTGCCTAGAACCAAACTAGTGGTCAGGAATCAGGATGGCATTTTCTGGCACCTTAAGTATAATAGTGATTGTCTCACTTCAAATAAAATAAATATTTGCCCAATAATCAAGTCAAATCTCAGTGCCTTCTTGAAGCTCAAGTTTGCCATTTCTTTTCTAGTAACCTGGGTAATTTTTACTCTGGAAGTATTATTGACTTCTTTTAGCATGTTATTATTCTATATTTAATTTGCTGAAAATACTTTTGCTAGGTAGTCTGCGATAAGACCTGTTTTATGTTTAATCTCTCGTGTCCAGTTTCCATGGCCTGTTCTTATTGGGGGAACTGATATTATCAGTCTTTTGACTAATTTTGTGGCTTTCTTCAGTGAGTAATTAATCTCTGCAACATCTGTTATGTTTGCCAAGAATTATTTAATTGTTTCTTTTAATTTATAGATTTCTCTTTTCAGGTCTTGGATCTTTTTATTAAAAGTCTTACCAACTTGGTATTGTGTTTTTTGCCACTTTCATCTTGTTGATCTTTTTTCTTTGTCCAGATTTCTTATTTCAGTGGAATAATTAATTCCTTTTGATATGTTATCTCTGTAGTATTGTTGATTGCAATTGTTTGTAATAATCTGGTAAATCTGCTTCTATATCTTGCTAATTTTTTGAAATAAATTAATATTGTGGTATTCCTGATTTCAAGTTGTACTGTCTCGGGATATAGATTGTATCAATTCTAAGATCTCATTTGCTAGATTAAGCTTAGCTTTGATTATTGATACTTAGCTTTGATTATTGATTAAGCTAAAGTAAAGATGTATCTCTTTAGTTTACAAATTATTTTCTGCTGTTATTATTTTGGACCCTTCACCCTGAAGTTCACCTTTGATTTTTGCCATGTCACATGTTGGTTGCAGATTTCTGACAATGATTCTAATTGGCCTTTTTTTGTTTATTTTCAAGAGTGTGCCATTGTTGGCCTGGAAGGTCAAGTACATTTCTAGGACGAATAGCAAATATTATGTAATAATCAGGAATCAGATGCTCGCAAGGTGTTTCTATGGCTAGTGAGAGACAAAGTGTGTTTGTTTTAAGTAATAAATTTTTAGTTCCTCAATACCACTGAACTCAGGCATGGGAAACAATTGGATGTGGGCTGGATCCGGTCTCTGTAATGAGTATGTGCTCCTCATGTTTAAATTTTTAATTTTCTCTGCACGATATAGTGTGGAAATTGAATAAGTGGTACTTTTAAATTGATATACTTGAACCACAATATATAACCATTGTACAACAATGAAAATTAAAATATCAGCTACTCAGAGGTGGAAGTGTCTTTGATTATTGGAAATCAAGATTTTTGAGAAGCATTGTAGAATAAACAACAGCTGGAGTTGATAACTGAAAACAAGTCCAGGCTGTTTGTAAAACAAAATAATTGTTTTATTTGTGATATAACCCTTCCAAGCTCATTCTATTAATTAAATATTGTTTTGATAGATCGCATTACAGTTTGGGTATTTATACTGTATGTAATTATATTTTTATTAAAATAATATTGTATTAGTTTGTATTTTTTTTTCTCTTCATGGCTGACTTCCAGAAAAACAAAAATTGATCATGGAATTGGAAATATTTTTTTTTTGCTTTATACAGTAACAATGTGTTTTGTCTTATTTTCAATTTGAGTGTAGCTGTTGTAAAAGAATACAACTTGAGAAGAAATTTTGAAATGAAACATCTAAATTTATTGTGAAATTGAAATGAATAATGATGAAAGTCTCAGATCGCATGGGAAAATTGCCTCGGTCACATAATGTATTGACACAGCAAAATCAATTACAGGAATCTGCTACCAAAGCAAGTTTTAGCGAAACAAATTTGCTCAATACGGAAAGCCTTTTGTCGAAGGACACTTTGTAAAATTGTGTATGTTTGATGTTTGTGATGTAATGTATCCAGAAACAAAACATAAAATTGATAATACAAACCTGAATCGTAAATCTATTGCCTGAATAATAGTAGGCATCAATGTTAATTTAAATGATCAGTTTCTGAATAATTTAGAATCATCTCCTTTTCATTCAATGGCTCTTGAAGAAAGTTGCAATGAAAAGGATACTGCTCATTTATTAATTTTTATCAGAGATATCGCTAAAGAGTTTCAAATTTCAGAAGTACTTTTGTCAATTGTTCCTTTGAAAGGCACCACAATGGGAGATCTGATCTGAAAGGTTGAAAGATTTTTTTTATACACAATTGACTGGAAAGAATTGGTGAATTGACAGATGGATCACCAAATATAATCGGAAAAAATACTGGTCTCAAAAGACAAACTGAAGACAAAATATTTGAAATTGATCCATATCATAAAATTATACCCATACTCTGCATTATGCATCGACAGTCATAATGCAAACAATTTCAAAAACAATCGTATTACAAATGTAGTTGTGAAATTAGTGAATTTCCTTTGATTAAAAGTATTAAAACACAGGCAATTTATTGGATTCCTTTAAGGTTTTTGAAACAATGATTTCAAAATACCAGATATGTACATGTGCTTATATTGCAATAAAATCTGAGCAAAGTTTTAAGATGTGTGTGATCAAGAGGAAATAAAAATATTTTTTAAACTTAAAGAAAATGAGGATTTTCCTGAATTATCAGAAGCAAATTGGATTTGTGTTATAGCATTTTCTCTGGATATTCTCACACATTCCAACAAATTTAACATATGGTTACCAGGAAAAACTTTATAAGCTTATAATACAAAGGTTAATATCTTTTCAAGTGAAACTTCTTTTTTCTAGAAATTTTGCTGAATGCATAATTGATCATTTTACAACGTTAGAGACCATATTTTTAAATATTTGAGGAGAAGATGTTCAAGAATTTAATAACAATATCTTTGCACTTAGGACAGATTTCAAGCAGTGATTCAATTGTCACAAGAAAATTGAGAAAATTTTATCTAGTAACTGAAACCCATTTTCTGAATATGTAGACAATGTTCCTGCTATGTATATAATTAGAAATGAAACGAATCGGAAGCATAAAGAACAACAAGTAAATTTATGCAATTTTTATAAGGAAATGCAGAACGATAAATATGGAAATAAAAAAACTTGCCAAGAAATATTTAGTCATCTTCAGCTTGACTTATATTTGTGAACATACTTTTTCTTTAAAGAATCTAAACAAAAGAACATGACGATCAAGAGTGAATGATTTACATTTGATGGTTGTGTTAAGAATAACTACTAAAACTATAGAGACAGATAGTAAAAAAATTGTAGGCAATGCAAACGTCACATAGTTTTTTTGTTAATTGATTGTACTCAATTACCTATATTCACAAACTAATTACAGAATAACATATTGTTTCCTTAAATTAATCATTTTTATATTTAACAGTTTTTAGTTTTAGTATTTTGTCTGGTCTCTGAAAAAAAGCCTTCTTTCTAATCTGGCCCTGTGGCAAAGACTGTTGCCCATGCCTGATATAACCTAATCTCATTATATACTTCAGTGGACTCTTTGCGAAGCATTTCCAATTTGACATTAATTCTTCAAGCTCTCAATTAATTCTTAATTCCCAATTTGGCATTAATTCTTCAAGCTCACAACCCTGAGTCTGTGCAATGGATAATTTGCAACTCATTTTTTTATGCTAAAATGCTTCTTGTGAACACACAGCACACCTCACACTCGGACATGTTACTAAAGTCACCATTCTAATGCCAACATTTCCTGGATGATGTCCAAAATTATCTGGTAATCAACATACATACAGTTTTTTTCACACTTGTCTAGCTAATGTGCTAATAAACTAGTAAATTTGTGAAATAAACATATTTCAGACTTCAGCTGTGACATTGTACAATGAAGAATGATACAGTGTGCCATGAAAGTCTTTCTGCTGAGGCATCAGTGGCTGGTGTGAGTGCTAATAACTGAAATTATGTTGGTAGCACGACCAACACCTTGTAACATAATTAAAACGTAAATTGCATACTCACCACAATCATAACAGATGCTGGAAGTGTTGTCCCCTTCATTTGTTTCGCAGTGATCTGGTTGCTATGAACATAAATATAATTTTTAATAAGAGCCCCTTCAATGACATTGAAGAAAATGTTATATGTACTGCCTGCACTTGTCAGTTTCAATCAATCACATTACCATAACATCTCCTTATCAAAAACAATGATTTCAAAATTCATACTGTAGTGGAATTAAACGCAAAATTTGCACTTAGTCTCATCGTTTCTGTTAACCTAGTAGCCAGTATTCTGATAACCTAATCAGAAACCAAAAGAGATTTGTGATGTTGGCTTTCTGTGATCTAAAGAATGTGTATTTGGTGAAATCTATTCTTTCCCTTCATCATTATTAATTTTTTAATAGTGAAATTATCTCTGTCAGCAGGTGAAGAATGTGACCAGTCCGAGACCATCAGTGAATTACGGACTCGAGTGGGAATCCCTGCTGTGGACTTAGTTTGCGTTTGCGGCATGCGCTTCTGTACAGAAGAACAGGCTGCTGCACATACGAGCACACATCCAGAAGCAACACCATTCCGGTGTCCCATATGCAACAAGTTCTTTTCAGTGGAAGAGCATGCTATACTTCACATAGGAACCCACCCTGGACTAAGATACCATGATTGCTCCATCTGCAAGAAGAGCTTTGCAGAAAGACGGTTGTTAGTTAGTCACATGTTCACTCACACGGGTGAGAGACCTCATCACTGCACCATTTGTGAGAAGAGCTTCGCACGAAGTTTCCAATTAGTTAAGCACATGCGAAGCCACACTGGTGAGAGGCCTTATGAATGCACCTTGTGCTCAAAGAACTTTGCCTACAGAGACAATTTGAATAGTCACATGAAGACCCACACAGGGGAGAAGCCTTATCAGTGTGACATATGCAAGAAAAAGTTCGCTCACAGGGGAATGTTAGTAATACATACACGCATTCACACAGGTGACAGGCCCTACCAGTGCAAAATCTGCAAGTACAACTTTACACAGAGAGCAAATTTGTACAAGCACATGCAAACACACACAGATGAAAAGCCTTATGAATGCAGTGTCTGCAGGAATAGTTTCAAGCAAAAGGAACAGTTGTTTAAACACATGCGAACGCATACAGGGGAGAAGCCTTATCAGTGCAGTAAATGCCACAACAAATTCTCCCTAAAATATTCTTTAGATAAGCACATGCGCATCCACACTGGTGACAAACCTTATCAGTGTGATATTTGCAAGAACAACTTCACCCAAAAAAGCCATTTGGTTATGCACATGCGTATCCACACTGGTGACAGACCTTATCGATGTAACTTCTGCAAGAACAACTTTACACAAAGTTCAAGCTTAAAAACCCATATTCTACGAATACACGGAAAGAAACTTGATTAATTACATGGGTGAGCAAAATTTGTTGTATTATATTAACAATTGTTTTTACCTAATTTTAAGGTACTAATTTCAGTTCTTAGGTTCATTTTTTCTCTGAAGCAATTGCCATGTCAAAATTAGAATATTTCATCTTCTTGTCATTGATTCCATAGTGCAGGGCAGAGAAATATCTAAACTTTAAATTATCTTTTATTACTCTGTTAAAATTAAAATCTCTTTAAATTAACTGATTGATCTACTATATTTGAATAAATCTCACTTTTCCCCTTAAATATTGCTCATGAAACACAGTTCAGCTTATACACAAGACATTACTGAAAAGAAAAAGAAAGAAGAAAAAAAATTCAAATTAAGAGGACCAATAACTAATTTACATTTACTAAATTTTCAAGTCATTAAAATAACTTTCATCTCCATTTTCTCCTTCAATGTCATTGAAACTTTCATTACCACTGCTGGTTTCCATGTGCCATTAATAGTTGTCCTTGCTATCATCCATCGTGATTGATATGCCACACACTTAAAAACCAATTGTGATCAGGTCCCCTTAAATTGATGCCCACTTATCCAGAATCTATAAACTCATGTTGCTCAGGAAAGCCTTCTTGAGGCTATTGGTCAGTGTTAGTGCTTCTGTTTTCTGCACCCATACGTGGAGGAACATGCATCTTAAAAAGTCTGTTTATTGCCACGTCCAAGGACTGCAGCATCTCAGTCATGCCTTCTGTATGACAACTAAGTCGCCTTTTTTGTCTTATAGTTTTGATTTCCAACCTTGGAAGTGTGAGCCTGGAAGTTGTCTAAAATAAGCATGGAGTGTTTTATCAATGCACCAGGCTGCTGTAACCACCTGAAGACTTTCTCAGTATCAGAGATGAATTTCCAATCAATTCACAATAATTATTGTAACCTATGACATTGATGTCTGAACAGGTATCTAAATCACAAAACACCTGCTTCCAATGTTGGCCAAATCAAAGTGTCAACTCAGTATATCCTTTCCTTTTCACTTCATTTTTCTCTTTAAATTAATATATTTTAAATGTATCATGTTCAAGATCTGATTCATGGCTTCCATTACCTGGACTCCCTTCACTTTCTTTAATTTCTCTAATCAATTTTGGTTCGAAGTTTTTATCAGAGTCACTGGAATTCTTTTTTAGACAAGCTTTAGCAGAATGATTTTCTCTTTGGCAACTGGCACATGTCTTGCCCCATGCAGGTCACAACTCTTTTTTAACATCATGTTTACTGCCACAGAAACGACAGATTCAACCATTTAATTTATTTTTAGATGAATTACTTTTTGTAACTTTGTTAATCTTTTTCTCTTCGGTTGAAATATCCCTGAATGACCAATCGCAATGATTCAGGGATACCAACATTACCGTAAACCAACTTCGTTTGAAAATAGAAAATATCATATATGTCACCTGAGTCAATGTCCAGTGGTTGAGGCCATGGTATGTGCTGCGTCAATAGCGTTTTTTCAGACCGGCTGCAGCATTTACTTGTTCGCCCGGTATTGTAGGCTACAGGACCCCACTGGGACACACAATAAACTGAAATTTACAGCAGAATTTCGCAATAGTAGTCTCGTAAAAGTTGGCAGGACATATGTATCCCGCTGGGAGCGAAAGGGTTAAATCTTTTGTCAAGTCAGATGGGTCTAGTAGCGATGTCAGAGCAATTCTAAAAGAGGGAAGGTGTGTCGTGGCAGTTGAGGGACCTGTTTGTTTGCAAACTACTCCTGTGCTATTCTCTGCATTGCACGAAGGGATCCGTTATTTACGCATTTTTGGGAGTATACCTTGTAATTTGCAACAGACATGCTTTAGCCACAAACTCTTCTAGACGGGCAGTCAGGAGCTAACCCACTCCCCATCAATCGACTCGGATGAGGTCTTGTACTGACCTCCAGGGGGAGTGGGGGGATCCACGACGGGGCAGCGCTGTGACATCTCCCCACTATGTCTTTGTGTCAACCCTGTCACCCCAGAGGGGTATCCCCTTGTTGGACTCCACGGTGGGTGGGGAGCACAAAGACGAATCCGCTTCAATTTCTATGGAGCATAAAACAAACGCCCTGCCCTCTTCTGGAAGGAAGAGGCGAGGTTTTAAGAGAGCAGTGGATTTGAGAAGATTCTTCCTTAGGAAAGAAGGTAAACCAAAGAAGCCATGTTTCCATTGGATAGAGTGCATAATAGAAGGGAAAACATTCAAAAGTATTAGTGCGATGTCTCGCGCGAGCCATTGAGAAGTTTCGATAAGCTTCAAGCGGTTGTGTGTCAGAGGAATGGTACCATTCTCTTCGAAACACGCACCGATAAGCTATATATTTAAGTACATGTTACTTTTCTATGTATACACACATGATTTGGAGTGACTGTATGCCATAATAGTTTTAAAATTTTATTTTCCAGTAATTTTATCACAAAACTGGAATATGTGTAGTAGACTAAATTTAAAAGATGTTATTTTTTGAAAAAGTATGATATTTATATTTTGAAAATTATATTTAGTGTGTTTATATCATTATGCAATATGAGAAGTGATACTTTATGACCCACATTGAATTGCAATCAACCGATAAAATGTTTTATTGAAATAAAAAGTTGTTGTTGTTAATGTTTACAATTTCATTGATATTCCGAAACCAAATGAATAGATATCCTGCAGATTCTCCCTGATATTTATAACACCAAAGTCGCTGATATTTGTTAAGAAACTAAATATTTTTGAATTAGTATGTATTATATTTTATTCGCAAATATGATTATAAGATATTTGGTAAAAGAATCTTAAATATTTGATATGTTGAACTGATATAAAAAAGTTAAACATTTCGTAATTTTCTGCAACTACGAAATACTGTGCGCATATAATTCTCTACAAAATGTTCGGTGGATGCTTCCAAGAATCAAATTGTTACGTTTTTAGGGTTTTGTAATTCAGGAATGTAAAGATTTTAGGGTGAGATTAAAAATCGTTTTCCAGCTCTTTAATACAGCATCTTTTGCTTTCGTGTATATGTGATGCACGTATATAGCGAAAATTATCCAATAAAGCCGAAAATCAATGTCGCGACGAGTCAAGTCGTCGTTGAAAGTATAATTTTTACGTTTTCCAAAAATGTCTCCCGACTAAGAACAATATTAACGACTATACCACAAAAAGGATTTTTTTCCAAATCAGTATTCCGTGATCCAGTTCGATTCGAGACCCTACTAATTTTGAATAGTTTTACTTTTTGGTAGAAATGTTCATGAAGACTTATTTTTTGTTGATCGTTTGAACTCACCCGTCCTGCACGTAAGCTGCCTTTCGTCTAATTTTTCTCACTTATCGGAAACTCGCAGTGTGAGGTTCGTTTGTAGAGTATTGTATTTGCTCGTGATATGTAGCCATCGGGTTTTAATCCACCTAAGTGAATAAATGCAATGTTCATAAAAATTTTAATTATTACATAGCTATTCGCATTCTTATTTTGTATAATTAATTGTTCACTGGAGGGATCTAAGATCTCGTGCACTACTTGTTTTTAAATAAAATTATTCCGTTATCACGAATGAAACACTTTCCGACGACTTGACAGAAATTTCCTGACATCACTGACCTCATACGACAAAACGGCGACTGGAAAAAAATACTACAGAACGAGATGATCCGAAGACAAACAACCTTACAAGCAGACGAAACGTCTACATGTGAGACATGAAATGACAAAATGTGATGATACACTACGTAACGATAACCTGAAGCAAACCCAAAAGGCATGGAAAATCACTAAACAACTAAAAACACCTGACACCCCTAAAACAGAATTACGTACAACCCACGGACAATCGCTGAAAGTGTCGCCCTCTCTCCGTTCACAAAATTTTCTATTCCATTTCCAATCCTCAATATCCCATACAGGCCATGCTGAACTTCTTGCGACCCCACCTCTACGCCCAGCAGGACAGACTCCATGGACCTTCAGTAACAAAGACGTACGCGACGAACCAAGATTTCTCGATGCGACCAAAGCAGCAGGATCTGACAGAATACAGACAGCCGCTCTGAAATATTTGACAAAAAATGCAATAGACCATCTTATGAATATTTTTAATGCCAGCATAAGACTGACAAGATTAACGAGACTAACAAGATTAGACAATAGAATAGTTAGACTTATCTTTAAACGAAAACCAGACGAATGTTACTTGAAAATTAAGAGACAACTACATGACACCATTAACGACGCAAGCAGTTCACGCAACATCAAAAAATAAAATACAAAAAGCAATAGCTAACCTCTCCAAAAAGTTCCTTGAACGGCACTTTTCCTTCCGCAACAGATAAATTCCTCACAATAGAAAAAACATCCACTCGATATCCTCTCACACTCAACCCCATCCCGAAATCCATAACCTTAGAAAAGTACCGTTCAAAAAAGCAAACCATCCATCACCACAATAGTCACCTCAATAAAATAAAAAATCGTCAACCTGAAATAAAATGAATTATCTCTAACAAAATAACCTCTCAACAATTAACTCTAACCAAATAACCTTTCTGTTACAGCCTCAATAAAATAAGTACGGTACCACCAAACAGATTGAAAAAACTCGCTATATTTCGCGTAATTAGGAGTAAAATAAAGGCAAATTTTAATTTTGTTTAAACATTTTTTCTCAAAAACGGCTTCATTGTTTTTTGATGAAATTTTGTTGGTATTGGTGTTCAGGCTTTGGTCAGAACGACGTCTAAGAGATCGGTGTAGGACCCATTTTGGTTAAAAACTCATTATTCGAAAATTGAAAAAATTCAAATTGTTTTCGGCGTCGTCTTCCAACTGCAATTATGAAGATACAGTTTTATCTTAGTGAAATGGGTTTATCAATAACAGATCTTTAAATAAGGTCGTGTTAAATTTTTCAAAAAACATGATTATTTTTGCAAAATTTTGTGTTAACTAGGCAATTTTTATTTTCTTCAAACAACCTTTTCTTAAAAAAACACACTTTTTTAATTTAATTGGAAACTTAGCATAAAGAACGGTTAAGAGAATGCTGCAGATCTCATGTTAATTGAAATGCACGATTTGAAATTGTATGAAAATGCATGATTTGATATTCAGGCAGGGAACTGAAGCCGGCGTGCTAGGTCGAGGCGGGAGGTGCGGCATACTCGCTTGAATGCGCACGTAGGGCAACTGGTGCATCACACCGAATATGTTATCAAATTATCAGGCCAGCGGTTGTGGTGACCAGTAACATTCCTTCTGGAAACAGGTCAGTAACGTTTATTGTAATTATTGTAAATAGTATTCAAGTGATGGAACATGTTTCAAATAAATACCGAATAGATTACAAACCGTTCACGTCTGTGAATTCTTGCCCCAGCAAAGACGCCACACTTGAATAAGTGCTTGAATGACTGTCATGGTAGAATAACCGTCAATCCACTACGGCGTTTCATTAATAAATTGTAACAGTGATAAATTTAATTGTGGAAATAAATTAGTACGTGCGTACTACGCTCTCCAAGTGAACTGTAGTTTTAAGTAGTACTGACAATTCTCAGACGGTGGCTATGGCGCAGATGGGGAGGGTACAGACGCATTACTGTTTGCTATTAGATGAAATTTGCAACTCCCGTGAGTTAATATTCAAACTCACCCAGCCGACACGAGTAGGCGTTATCGTCCACGCACCTGTGAGCGTCTGGTGAGAGGAGGACCTTGTCAGCTCACAAATATTTATGCTCTGTTAGTCTTCATTCATTGTGGCTAGTGGCAACATCTACGGACGAAGCTCTCCTTAGAGCGTAGGCGTCCGCGGCCGGAGTCAGTATTTACTTCGCTGTTAGGGCAACGCCGCGTCTATGGCAAAGATGCCGACGTTTCGGTCGCCGTTCTGCGACCTTCCTCAGGGCGTAATCTCTTTCCTATTCGGACGCGGGCGGCTCTT